TTCTTTCCTCAAAAGCCTATGTCCTTAATAGTTGAAGCTCTATTATAAGAAAGAACTGCACAGTCATTGTACTCTTCTGTGTTGGATGTTGTTTGCTGAGTATGGCAGTTGTTACTGATCTGTCTGGGAGCAGAAACATGTTGTAGACCTGTTAAACAGAAATTGTTTATCCACAGAAACAGAGCCAGAGCCCATAAAAACCTTTACTTTCCTATTCAAAGAGTTGTTAACCAGATTTCCACACATTCAAACAAAATAGTTTATTCTTTGCCTGGGCTCTGTGCAAAGGGTCAAAACATTAACTTTTGGGCTATTTTTTACCATTCTTTGGGAAAAGGAGGGAGTAACATGTAGTGTTTACATAACAATTAGAAAATAGAGTCTGATCCAAACCGTTTCCTGGTTTCTACTCCTGGCACGAACCTTTTCAAACAGAGCAACCCCAGTACATATGTGTGCACACTGCTTCTCTCCCAGGTGTGTTTTTGGCAGCTGGATACACAAGGCTCGCTCACTGGTGGCCAGCACAAAAACCCTTAGGATGTGCACGAGTTCATGGGTAACATGAAGGCAGGGGGCTGGCAACTGTATGCAAGACACCTCCTCCCCACCACTTCAGTGCACACACAGAGCCTGATTTCAGGTGCTGCATCTTAAACTGTGCTTGTAAATGCCCAGGAAGGAGTAGGATGTTTAGCTCCTGCTTCCTGACAGTTCATTTCTCACTCAGAAAATTGCTGTGGATGAAAAAAAAACAAAGCAACTTCTTGCAGAGAACTCCCCTTGCCTTCAGCTGAAGTCCTATTTGCATGTGTGTCGAACGGGGTGAGGAAAACGCTCTCCAAGGTTTCCTGCTGTGAGCAGTAGACTCAGCATCTCAACTGGCCTCTGCATTTTGATGACTCTGTTACAGGAAGCTTTTTCTCCTGACAGACTTTGAACACACGTAAAGCTCAGCCTCAGGTTCCTGCATCAGCCCAGAATTAAATTGGGAGAGGTAGGTGACCAAGCAAGTCTGTGTGTTTAAAGGAAAAGTATTATTTAGAAGCTCTCAGAAAAACATGAAAGGAAACAGACTATAAATAGGCTTCTGAAATTTCTGAGCAGATTGAATGATGAGTCTCTGTAGCCAAGAGTATAAAGTACCTTTCTCTCCCAAGAACTTCTACTTAGATATGGCAATGGCATTACCAACAAGCTAATTGTGCAATTACTGAATGCCACCCTGAGTGTGTCTGCTGGGGTGGGAAGTATTATATCTCACATTTCCACTTTTTCTTCAAATACTTCTCTCTGCAGAAAATCCTGTTATGAATCTGTCTGCCTGTTAGCTTTTGCTCTCCTTAAGCTAAGCTGAAGAAGGAAAAATACATTCTGCTGTGGCAAACAATAGACAGGGGGAAAAAAAAATCAAAGGAGACAAATGAGGTTCCATCACAGTAGGAAATTTAAGAAAAGGTTAGAGGTGACAATATTGGGCATGGTGTTAGACTGAAGTAATCTTGTAAACTTCAGGGAGCCAGGCCAGATACTCCAACTTTTCCTGTCTGGCTCTGATGTCTTCCAATTACTATCTACCATCAGGCCACACAGAAAATTTCTACTGATAGTGATAGAACCTCTAGTTGGATTTCAAAAAAGGAATACAACCAAGTGATTCTTTAAAACACCTCTTAAAGTGTTTTATTCCTTAAGCACATCATCATTTTGGATCGCAGTCTTGACCTTAAGCTTGTGCTTATGTTATACTTTAAAATTATCCTGTCTGCTTTGGATTGTTTTCCTGACATATAAGCCTAAATCTCAGTGAGTTTGATATGATGTAATGCTAGGGGAGGTAGCTTAAAAACCACTCAAATAAGATTCGAAGGAGTAGGGGGGGGGTGACTGTAAATTAGAAATAAAATTAAAAAAAAATGACATACTAAACCCCTAATATTAAAATTGTGTTGCATAACTAAGTTCCCTTCTCTGATAAGTTCTACAACACCATAAACATATGTCATTGGCAATAGCCACTTATAATAGAAACAACCAAAATTATTTGCTTATAGTGCAATTTCAGTCCTCAAATACATACCCATATCATGGTTTACTTGGTTAAAATATGACATTTTATTATACTCCCTGTTTGATTCAGTCTCTTAAGTAGTTGTTAGAATGGTGGTGGGAAGCAGTGACCTCTTTGAAACTGTCAATATGTTCTTTCACCTACTAAATAAGCAAGGAATGACTTTAACATACCACTTAAGGTACCTGGATAAAAAAATAGGCATCTTGATCTTTACACCTGCATTTCTGTGCCTGTTGTTAAAACAGAGCTATAAGCCAGATATCTTCCTAAATGAGTTTTATTCTAGACCTTTGCTCCCTAATTAATTGGTTTATTTAAATACAATTTGAAAAATTCAGCTTAAACTATATGCAAATCCTTCCAAACTGGGCCCTTTATATACATACATTCCCTTTTATGTGAACAGTACTTTGTTAATGGCTCAATAATTAAGGGAGTTTACATTTTAAAGACTTCAGTTTTTAATTGGCTGAATATTAATCACAGATCACTTTCAGTTCTGTTGTGATATGCAAATTATTGATGCCTCAGCTGCATTTGTTTTCAGGTATCAGTCTAACCACATAATGCAAAATAACATTCTGCAATTATTTCAATTAGATGCAGTCAGCCTTCGGAGCAAGCTATTTGTTTCATTTCAGTAAATGAAGAAAGCAGTTGCTGTGTTCCATTCCCTGGTGTTTACTGCCCAGAACTAGGACTCACAACTGGTATGTGTACAGCACATAAACAGTTTTCTAACTGGATCACGTTAGAATTCATGGTACAGGGCAAGCAATTGAACTCGCCTTGCAAGATTTCATTTGGCTAACTGACTCTTCTGCTTTGGAATGAGATGTCACCTTGTTTGGGGGTATTCGTTACCATTTTAAAGTGTATTATGAAAGGTAGAGTCAATAAGAGTTCCTAATTAGCAGAATCTGCTTAGCACAAGTGCATAACATTAGAGGATTTTTTCCATCAGACTGCAGCTGTTACCTAGGCAGAGAGGAGGAATTCCACCTAACCACAAAGAATAAGATAGACAAATAGCTGCGCTGTCTTAAGAACGGGTCGGGTATGTCTCCTCGCAGCGATTTCGCTCCATAATTGCAATCCACATTAAATGCAGCAAATGTTACCATCCTGCCCACTCAGTTTCCACCTCTACTTTTGTTTCAAGCGGGGAGGGAGATAGAAAAGAGAAGGGCGAGAGGAGGAGGGGACGGGGGGGAGTCCTTTCTTTCTTTTCTTCTCTCCTTCCCCGCTCCGCTCTCCCATCCGCGGTACCCAGCGGCTCCAGGCGAGGGGCCCGCGATGCCCCGTCCCGGCCGCGCCTCGGGCTGCACTTGTTGTAGCTGCCGCGGGCGCCCATGGCAGCCCCGCGGCCCCGCCGGCCCGGGGGGCTCCTCCCGGCCCGCCGACCCCGCCTGAGCCCCGCGGGGGCGCAGCCCGGCGCCTCCCCGGCAGCGGCACCGGCGGCGCGGCGCCTCCGGGCGTGCGGGAGAGGCTCCGGCGGCGGCGGCGGCGATGCGCCGGGATTGCTCCCCCGGAGCGGCATCTCCCTGCCCGCCGAAGCAGCGCTCGGGCGCTCGGTGCGTTGCGTTGTGCCTGTGTTGTGTGTGCGAGCGTGTGTGTGTTGTGTGTGAGTGTGCGGGTGTGCGTGTGGCGAAGGGGAGGGGGCTCTCTGCGTGCAGGGGGTGGGCGAGAGCAGTGCGATGGGAGCGGGCGCCCGTGTGCAGAGGGATCCTCTCCCCGCATGTGTGCGGGGGACCGCGGTGCCGGGGCAGGGCTCAGCCAGGCTGCTGCTACTGCTGCTGCTGCTGCTGCTGCATGCGGCGGAGCCCGCGGGGTTACCGCAGCGCCGGGCATCCCCTCGCCCCGCGCGGCCGGGGGTGTTCGCCCCGGCGGCCGCCCCGCTGCCCCCGCCGCCCGCTGCGGGCGCGGAGCCGCCGGAGCCGAGAGCGAGCGGGGAGAGCGGCGGAGCTCAGCCCAGCGCGGCCGCGGCCACCCCGGGCGCCGAGGTAGGGACGGTGCCGGGCTGTCCGCCGGGAGCATCGCCGGGGGCGGCGGGCGCCCCGCCGGGCGTGTGAGTTGCGGGCGGGGGTGGGGGCACGGCGGGGCCGCGTGTGCGTTGGCGTTTTGATTTCTTCTAATTATTACCGAGGCTTTGTTTTCATTGCTGTAATAATTACTGATGGTGTTTTAAAGGGGGAGTGGAGGGTTGGGGGGGGGGGGAGTTGTCACACGAGGAGGCGACAGTGGCTTCCTGCCGGAGCCTCACTGCCATCGCGCTCGCCGCTCTCCGCAGCCTCCCAGAGCCCCGGCCAGCGGCACCAGGCGCAGCTCTGCCCTCTCCCATCTTTCCCGGGTGAGCGGAGGGACCGGGGTCGGGGCGGCCCGGAGGAGCCGGTGGAGGTGTGGGAGGGACGGGGGGAGCAGGATCTGCGCAGTGGGGCTGGAGAAGGGAGTGTGTGGATGCGCTGCGGGCTGGACTTTGCAAAAGGTATCGATCGGGGCGGCGGGCTTGGAGGAAGGTTGGAGCGTTTCGCGGCGGGGATCACGGTCGTGCCCTGTAGCGAAGGGAGGGTGGAAGGGATGCGGGGCTGCACTGCCGCTCTGTGCCCGCTCCCGGCTGGCATGTGCGCGCCCGTGTCCCTCCTGCCCTCCCCCGCCGGGAGGCAGAGGGCGACGGGGCGCCCACGGCAGAGGGGACCCGGCACCAGCCGAGCCGGTTGCGGCAAAAAATTGCAGTATTGCCGGCACTGCTGGCCGGGCTCGCCGCCCCGCGCAGCGCCCGCAGTGTGCCCGCTCGGCACCGGCGGGGGCCCCGCGGCTGAAGAAGAAGAGGGGACTCCAGCGTGGGCGAGGCAGGGATACGGGAGGACGGCGCCCGGCAGTGGGAGGGAGATGGAGCGGTGGGGATGCGGGGCCATCGGGCTGCCCCTGGGGGCGCGCTCCCCGCGGCCAGGGTCGGGAGCCTGCGGGCATGAGCAGCGGCTGCTGCGCTCCCCCTTCTCCCTCTGCTCCCCTTTCTCCCCGTGCTCCCGCTCCGCGGCCTCCTTGACCCCTTCAGTCATCCCTTCCTCTTATCCTTCCTTGCCTCCTCAGAGCTTTCCTTCTCCCTCTTGTCCTTCTGTCCTGCACTGTTTCCTCATCCCTCCTCTGCCCTCCCTTCCAGGTCCCCCAATGCATCCTCCCCTTGTGTCTCCCTCCGGTCCGGTTCTCCTCCCTCCAGCTGGCTCCTGCTTTCTCCACTTTCATCCTGGCTCTCTCCTGCCAACTCAGTGGCTTCCCAGAGCAGGAAATGCAAGGGACAAGTTGGGAAATGGGGGTAATGGGAAGATGAGGGCAGTGCAACATATTGATTATTGACTGATTTGTTAAAAAAAAAAAAAGCTACCTTCTAACTCAGAGGAAATGCTGTGGCTCCAGTTGTTCTGCGTAAAAAATGGCAGCTCAGCTGGCCTGACTATATGCAAAGGGTTCTTATCAATGCAGGAATAGGAGAAAATTACATAATGTTTTAGAAAAAAGTAGTTCTCAGGTTTCAGTAGTGTCAGGCTGGCTGGTGAATTGTGACTTTGTTTTGCCCTGCAAGTCAGCGTATTATCATTCCTGGGGATGGGGCTGTGTGCTTGTGCATGCTTCTTCGTGTCTGTGTGCTTCCATTGGTCACCCAGAGATGATGTTCTTGTTTTGTGGATAGTTGTATTTCTGCTATCAGTTTACCATGTATTTATTCAAACTAGGTATGAGAAGTGACAGAAACAATGTATGTGCATGTCTGTGTATCACTTGAGTGAATATCTTTATTATAGTGTGTGTGTTGATGCTATAAATACATACATTGAGTACTGACATTGCTTTTTGTGCCTGCACCTTTATCCTTTCTGTATTTTGCTATCCCAGCCCAGATGTTTGGGCATGCATAACATTGGCATTTGTGTTTAATATCCCTGAAATGCACAGCAACATATGAGCAGTGCAGGATTGAAGAGACTAAATATGCATAAAATTGGAATCTCCTTTGGTTGTTTTACTTTGTTAGTTATGCATGCTTGGCGTGTACAAGAGAGAGAAATGTATTTGACAGACCTGAGAGTTATTTGTGTTTGTCTACAGAAATTTACATTCTGTGTTTGAAATCATCCTAGCTCCCGTGTATTTGTTTGGTTGTTAAAATCTCTCATGTTATTTTAAATTCAGTGCTTGTAGTTTATCTATAATCCTTGGCAGGTACAGTAGCTCAGTGGTATACAATTTTTAGCCCAAATGATGTTTTGGAACAATGTCAACTGAAAAATGATTTCTTTTTTTCTTTCCTTCTTTCTTCTTTAGATTCTTTATCTTTGTTCAGGAGCCTAAGGTTGCTTGCTGATCACAAGAAGATGTTTCTGTGGCTCTTTCTGGTTCTGTCATCTCCAGTTTCTTCTACAACTGCAGATGCTGATATATCTGTGGAAATTTGCAATGTTTGCTCCTGTGTGTCAGTTGAGAATGTACTCTATGTCAACTGTGAGAAGGTTGCAGTCTACAGACCAAATCAGCTTAAACCACCGTGGTCTAATTTTTACCACCTCAACTTCCAAAACAACCTGCTAATTGTTCTATATCCAAATTCCTTTCCTAATTTTACACATGCAGTGTCCTTGCAACTGGGTAATAATAAGTTGCAGAACATTGAGGGAGGGGCCTTTATGGGTCTTAGTTCATTAAAACAGTTGCACTTAAACAACAACGAATTAAAGATTCTCCGGGCTGACACTTTCCTTGGCATAGAGAACTTGGAGTATCTCCAAGCTGACTACAATTTAATCAAGTTTATTGAACGGGGAGCCTTCAATAAGCTTCATAAGCTGAAAGTCCTGATACTTAATGACAACCTGATTTCATTCCTTCCCGATAATATTTTTCGATTTGCTTCTCTAACCCATCTGGATATACGGGGGAATCGAATACAGAAGCTTCCATACATTGGAGTTCTGGAACACATCGGGCGAATCGTCGAACTGCAGCTGGAAGACAACCCCTGGAATTGTACTTGTGATTTGTTGCCTTTGAAGGCGTGGCTGGAGAACATGCCCTATAACATCTACATTGGAGAGGCGATCTGTGAGACACCCAGTGACTTGTATGGAAGGCTGCTGAAAGAAACCAATAAGCAAGAGCTGTGCTCCATGGGGACAGGGAGTGATTTTGACGTGCGCATCCTGCCTCCCTCGCAGCTGGAGCCCGGGTACAGCACGCCAAACGGCCACACCACTCAAACATCAGTGCACAGATTAGTCACAAAGCCGCCCAAGACTACAAATCCTTCGAAGATCTCGGGGATAGTAGCAGGCAAAGCGTTCTCGAATCGCAACCTCAGTCAAATCGTATCTTACCAGACCAGGGTGCCTCCTTTAACTCCTTGCCCGGTCCCTTGTGTTTGCAAAACTCATCCTTCAGACTTGGGATTAAGTGTGAATTGCCAAGAAAGAAATATAGAGTCCATGGCTGAACTCGTACCAAAACCTTTAAATGCCAAGAAACTGCATGTAAACGGCAATTACATTAAGGATGTGGATACTACAGATTTCTCTGAGTTTGAGGGGCTGGATTTGCTACATTTAGGCAGCAATCGGATTTCAGTGATCAAAGGAGACGTTTTCCGCAACCTTACAAATTTACGGAGATTGTATCTCAATGGCAATCAGATAGAGCGTCTGAGCCCAGAAATGTTTGCTGGCCTCCACAACTTGCAGTATCTGTATTTGGAATACAATGTTATCAAAGAGATCCTAGCAGGCACCTTTGACTTAATGCCCAATTTGCAGTTGCTCTACCTGAACAACAATCTCCTCCGAAGCTTGCCAGCGTACATTTTTGCTGGTGCACCACTTGCTAGACTGAATCTGAGGAACAATCACTTCATGTATTTACCTGTAAGTGGTGTTCTCGATCAGCTAAAATCTCTTACACAAATAGATTTGGAAGGTAATCCGTGGGACTGCACTTGTGATTTAGTTGCTTTAAAGCTGTGGCTCGAAAAGCTAAATGAAGGTATTGTGGTGAAGGAGTTGAAATGTGAAACGCCTGTACAGTTTGCTAACATAGAACTTAAGTCTCTGAAAAACGAGATACTCTGCCCTAAACTATTAAACAAGCCATCTGCTCTGTTCACTAGCCCTATGCCTGCTGTTACTTTTACAACACTGCCGGGACCGGTTCGGAGTCCTCCTGGTGGCCCAGTCCCATTGTCCATCCTCATCTTAAGCATATTAGTTGTGCTGATTTTAACGGTGTTCGTTGCTTTTTGTCTCCTCGTTTTTGTGCTTCGGCGCAACAAAAAACCAGCTGTAAAGCACGAAGGGATTGGGAACCAGGAGTGCAGTTCTATGCAGCTGCAGCTGAGAAAGCACGACCACAAGGCAAACAAAAAGGATGGACTGGGTGCAGAGGCCTTCATTCCTCAAACCATTGAGCAGATGAGCAAAAGTCACACCTGTGGCTTAAAGGAGTCTGAAACAGGCTTCACTTTTGCTGACCCACCAGGGCAAAAAGTCATTCTGAGAAATATCAATGACAAGGAGAAAGATTTGTTGCATGTGGATACCAGAAAAAGACTTAGCACAATTGATGAACTGGATGAGTTATTCCCTGGGAGGGATTCCAATGTATTTATTCAGAATTTTCTTGAAAGTAAAAAAGAATACAACAGCATAGGGGTCAGTGGCTTTGAAATACGTTACCCAGAGAAACTACAAGACAAAAAAACCAAGAAATCGTTAATAGGTGGTAATCATAGTAAAATTGTAGTAGAACAAAGAAAAAGTGAATATTTTGAACTAAAAGCTAAACTTCAAGGTTCACCTGACTACCTACAAGTCCTTGAAGAACAAACAGCTTTGAATAAAATATAGGTCATACAATCTTATTGCCTACAGAGGACATTTATTTAATGATGAAAGTGCCTTTTGTTGACTTTTAACTTCCAAATACTATATTATATTGGTAGGCATAGAGGCAGGTGTATCCAGGGGTGTCTGATTAACTGTAGCTGCGTATGATTTGTCGAGTAGAGGAGAATTTCCTTAATAGATTTTACTACATAAAGCTCATGCCCAGTGGAATCCTGTAGGGATACTGCAAACTCTATTGCCAAAGGGATGCTTTATACACGTTACACTGAATTTAACCTCAAGAGGCATATATGTTTTGTATCTTAAATGCAAACCATCGTCTCCTTGTGATTTGTTAGAACAAACACAAGAAACCTGGTACTGATATCTGTACCTCAGCTGGGTCCTTCATCCTGCACGTGGATTTAAGTTGGTGGAACTGGAGTAATCCTTTGATTTGTGGTGTTGTAATGGCACTGTTTAAAGCTTATCTGGAAAGTAACAAGCATGCAAAGAGAGAACATTCAATAGTATGTGTAAATTGGTTACATTTACGGGCTGCATCTTGAAACCACTGGAATTATAATGTTAAATTGTGCAAATATTTGTTTAAAATATACCATGCATTACATACCTATGGAATAAATTTGACCACTTGAAGCATACACGTCTATACAGAAAATTATAAAAAAAAAAAAAAAAAAAAAGAAAGAAAATAGTTTAACCTGACTTCTGCAGTATTTGTGACATCTGAAGAAAATATTTGATATTTATGCAGAATCTGTTCTAAGACTCATCTCCAACTAAAACTAGAGGTCCTTCTCAGTTATGTGAAACTCTTGCAACCCAACAGGTTGTCCAAAATTGTCAAAGTGCTTACTGTGTGAGCGTAGCAGAAATTATTTTTGTAATATAATTCATATTTATGAAATACTTTGTATACTAAATAGGAAAGAATATGTACTCCTTAATATGTATTTAATATGCCTGACTTGTTTTCCTGATCACACTGCATTAATCATTCAGTATAAATAAAACCAGAACAATATACCAAACAGCAACCGGGGATGTAATGTATAGCATTATCCAGAATTAAGTGATCAGATATAATAATAATAATAAAAAGAATTGTTCTGTACTGTTCTTGTGAGATTAGCATATTATCTTATTTCAGATTTGTTACCAATGGTGCATTTTAAAATAGATTCATTAGTTTTTTTAGTATTGTGTCTCAGGCAATTATTTGCCATCAGTTTTCTTGATTTTTCAGGTCTCTACAGCTTAATCTAAATAGTTTTCACTACAAGCATTTAAAAGAATTCATGCTGAGAGTAACATTTTAATTGGATATGCAGAAGTTTTCTGTTCTTATTATCTCTCTGGCTGCTGTTAGTCAGCAAAACCTGATCAGAACAGTGAACAATATGGCAAATAATGTCTATTTAAAACCACAGTGTGAAATGGATATAGTGGTCTCAGTTCAGAGTATTGTGTAGCTCATACCTAGAGAGTAAAAACTTGCCTTTGTGAAAACTAAATCTGAATAGCTAGGAAAAAAAAAAAAAAGTAGGAGAATGGAAAATCCCCACTGTATCTCACTGATAGATGAGATAGATACGAGAATGGAGATATATTGGTAAAGCATCCCACAAAAAAATCTATGTGATGAGATTAACAAGAGTTCTTTGTCTTCATGAGCTTTGAATAAGACCTTCTTCCCTCCTTTGCTTGCAGAACCATTATCCCTCCCTACCTTTTATAATCAGTCAGTTAAGATAGCAGGATATAAACATGAATGTTTTTCATGAATTTGAAACTAGCAAAAATTAGAGCAAGGCCCAATAATAATACTGTTGAGAAGGCTGTGTCAGCTATTTCCAATATAAAACCTCTAATTTCAGGGCTTTATTACAGTGATTTGAAATTTTTATTCTGGAATGATACTTGGCAACCAGCCTGCAGTATATTTTTAACAAAATATACAAAAAAAAATAAAAATAAAAAAAGCAAGCACTGCTTCTTTATTTAAGAGAAAGCAAACAAAACATTTCTCTACTTTTAGTAATTCTTTTATCTCTTGTGGCTTAGAAAGAGGGTTGTTTTATTATTTTTCTCCATACTTCAAAGTATATACATGACTTCAGATAATAAAATTCTAACAGATAAATTAATGGCTGAGTTCCTTTTGAAAAGCTGTGCCTATCTGTGCAGAATAATGAACATAATTCAGAATGTCAGAGGGATTTTCAGGACATGGATACTATACGCATACGCATTTCTAGCATGGCAAGTTCCTGGTTGACCAGTGATGGCCAAGGTTGGAAAAGGAACATATATGAGTTCGTTGTCTGTGGATTAAGGAGTGTTCACGATGCACTGACATGGCAGGCTCTGATGGCTCCATCAGCAGGCTAAGGATGAGGGGTCACTGTGCCTGCTCCACTCAGCCCTGCGTGGTTTGGAGGATGTGTCCGAGTTCACTGGGATTTGCCAAAGCAGAGGGTTCTGACACGCTCAGTGCATTGTCAGACTGTCAGGGCCCTTTCCCTGCTTGAGAGAGATGTGTTAAAAATATGAAAAGTAGCAAATAAGCCAATGCTTCTGAAAGTGATGATAAAACTGACATGCTTATGACTCATGTTGTCCTGAGTTCAAAAAACAGTGATAAATGATCATACCTTCTTCAGCTAAAAAATTGAGGGGGGTTTGGTGTTGGTTTTTTTTGGGGGGTAGTGTTCATTTGTTGATGTTTTGCTTTGCTTTGCTTTTTTTTTTTTTTTCTTGGTTTTGATTTTTGTTTTGGTCTTTTTGTTATGGTGTCCTCTATTTGCTGATCAAAAGGAGAAGAACTGATCTGTTATGCTGTACCATTACAGTGGGTCAGAGTTTCCTGCCCACCGAGGTCCCAATCCGGTCAAGCGCTTAAGCTCAGCCTAAATCCTGTGCAGAGGAACTATTCATGAGCTAACAGTGAAACACCTGCCCGAGAGTGGGGCTTAGATAAAGAGTTTTGTCATTGAACTTCAAACCAAGCCAGCTCAGAAACATTGTATATAATACATAGAGCCCAGTGACTCTTCTGGGGTTATGCAGTTGAGTGTAGGTTCACCAGCATCACTAAAGGTTGCACAATCTGGACCTTCCTGTAGAAATTGTTCCTAAGTAAGTGTTCGACAATATATGGTGCAATATGTAGGCATAATAGTGTGAGTGAAGAATGCAGAAGCCGGCAAAAACACTATATGTCTGTGAAATTGTTAACTTTGAATGGCAACCTTAATGTCAGTTTATTTTCCTCCATGTTTTTGAAGCAGTGTACGTGTCTGCACAGCAGTTTCAGTGTAATGTCCATTCAAATCTCTGGTCAGTCTTTCTGAGAAGGCGACTCTTCGGATGTGGCTTAAACAAGGTCTGTCTGTTCATTATCTTGGTTTGAGTGGCCATGCTTGTAAAATGGCTGTTAAGACCCATAG